GTGATCATGCTGTAGTGAGTTCAAACCCCAGCCGGATCGCCAACTGTAAGTTCTTATTAGAAAATGACGAGATTATGCTCGCTGCGATTAAAACTCTCTCTTAGTTCAGATGGTCGATCGCGCCATACATTGGACCGTGAAGTTAAGCCGTTTAATTCTGGCCATGTCTTCTTTGTCCTAACACTTTGCACTTATGTTCCATATTGCTCTGCCGAAAGCCACTCTTAAGGGGGTAGCTATCAGTCAAACTGATATCCTCTAAACACGGCCTTGTTATTTATTATATAGGAGCCAGTTGATACAGGCACTAGTTGAAAAGGGTTACACTTTGGATCCAAGCTCCAATTATGACTGGGAACCAGGATGTGATTCAATTTTTAAATTGTGACGCTATTTTATTCTTTTAGCTGTTCGGTTGGTAGGCGAAAGTGAAGTAGCCTCTCACCGGGGCCGAGTTGAAGTTTTTTACAATGGATCATGGGGAAAAGTTTGTGGTTCTGGCTGGAACTTTAAAGGCGCTAAAGTTGTATGCCGACAACTGGGATTTGAACGACCTTTGAAAGCGAGAAAAACAACGGATTCCGAGAGGCAAAGGGGGAAAATATGGATGAGTAACGCATGGTGTACAGGGAGAGAAAATTCACTAAGAGAATGTTGGCACAAACGTGGGGGAGAAAAATACTGTTACTACGATAACTATGCAAGTGTAGTTTGCAATTTTACAGGTAATTGTAGGATCTTTGACGCATATTAAGACCTATCAAGATCCTTGGACCTATCTTAAAGAGCGGCGATAAATCCCTTTTTATTGTGGATGGTAATCTGCTCTACATACCTAACACCTAACTAAGTACAAGAAAGTAAACGCTACAAGGAAATCCCAATGGGTGTCCTTTAACTAGGGCTTAAGATAAATTTTGATATAGTTACTATTGACCACCGGCTAATCAACTTAAAGTTCCCGTCACCGCTCGTGCGGAATCAAGTCCCTTGTATCGCTTGTGGCTTCATCGGTTTTAATCATAGAATACTTTGACAAGTAACTCAGGAAGAGATGTTTCCTACCTAAAATCTAGAGCCAATCCTACCCGCACTTCCTTCAAACTAATCCTACGATCTTAAAAGCGTTTTCCCCCTTCGGCGAAATGAAGCATGGAAAATGACCAGCCAAAGAATAACGCGGACCAAGAGAAACGAGAGAAGAGAGAAGACGAAAAAAAGACGAATCTCAAATCTATAAATGTATTGACCCGAACTTCGGAAGCTGATATATTTCGAAAGGCAAAGGCACGCGCAATAACCTTCATTTCTAAGTTATTAGCAGAGCTCTCATGCGCGCGCAGCAGAGCACCATGGGTAAGAAAATTTGGTAAACTATCCATCCGAGAAAATTTGGTTATGACGTAGCGTACTCCAGTCCGCCCACCCGTACACACACTTCATGTAAGCCGATGTCAAATTAAATGTCACAATCGATCTTGCACAACTTGACTAGCCTCTTAGTTATGTAAGCCATCCGTATGAGTACGATTAGATTGACACCTGTCAAAATCAGACATCCGCTGACACATGACCATCTCGCGGGCTCAGATGAAAGACCAGTCGTTTTGCCCCTACATATAAGCTGATATAATATGTCACACTTACCAATTCAACATATAAACGAAACTACGCCGGGCAAGGCAGTCAGTTGGCTGACAGTCGTTTAAAGTTATATTGGCAAGCCAAATTAAGGTCAATTGACAGCTGTCAAAATGGGACATGTGCAGGCCACTATCAGAAAACTAATAACGTGGGCTCAGGTTCGCTCAGGTACAGGATCTGGCATTTTCCAATACATGCCGGACGGTTACTCACACTCGTAGGCTGTTAATTCGAATATTCGCCATTCTAATGAAGGTTAATTGACAGCTGTCAAACTAGAGTATACGCTGACCATCATTACCTGAGTGTATCGCGGGCTCATTTTTCTATCCATTGAGGTCACGTGGTGTTTAAAGTTTTGCGCTGATATTTTATTTGATCACTGGTTCAATTTGGAGCCCCATAGCTCCCAGAAAATTCGGCAATCACGTGACCGTACACCGACCACCTGACCTTCCGTCCGTCCGCACCACAGGTATACCAATGTTTAATCTCACACTTTCTAGCTAGTTTGGGAGCCTGCAACCTGATATTGTACATCCATGTTTTGATTATTTGACAGCTGTCAAAATAGTGTTTCTGCTGACCAGTATCGCGGGCTCAGGTATCGACCCACTGCTTTCGAGAAGTGGTTCGAGTGTTTTTTAAGGTATCCGCTGACAAGTTGCTACTTTTCAAATGATCGCAGGCTCAAGTTCAATTTTTTTAAAATGCATATGAAATAAGTCGTGTTCATGAGCCGCACTTTTAAAATGTTGATTTTGAACTGACCTCGGACGCTAAAATTCAACCGGCTTTTACATTTACCTGCAAGGAAGGCAATCGCTTTTGACTTTTCTCACTGTCACGCGTGGATGGAGCTGACAGAGTTTTGTGTCATCTTGTGATGTTTCATCCTCGGAGACCCAGGAGCAGATAGAGGGAGCGAGGGAAAGTCGGGCGGAAAAATAGATATGGAACGAACAAAAGTAAAGAAGGGCGAGAAGAGCCCCTGGAGACAATGTCTTACCAGACCAGTTCCAAACGGTCGCCGCCAGTCTGGCTTCTGATTGGTGCCAGAAAACTTGTGTTTTTCTGGCACCAATCAGAAGGCAGAACGGCGGCGACCGTTTGGAACTGGTCTGGTAAGACATTGTCCCCAGGGGCTCTTCTCGCCGTTCTTTACTTTTGCTCGTTCCATATATATCTTTCCGCCCGTTTAGACTTTCCCTCGTCCCCACTATCTGCCCCTGGGTCTCCGAGGATGGTGATGTTTTAAACTGTCTTTTTCTGACTGAAATACAGCTGCTATCAAGATTGTTCTGTAATTCATGGCTGGTTTGTTTATTGCGCTTTTTGTTGACAAATGCACCGCTTGTCAAAGTCATGGGAAATCCGATTTCGGATGGCATCGTTTTCAAAAATGAGGTTACTCACTTGCCCTTGCTTGAGGCGTAAGAGGGTTGAAAAGTCGCAAGCGATTCTGGAACACTTGATGACCTTCAGAAGCAGCATCTCGACTGGTAAGCCTGAGCAATTATTGTCTTTGATGTGTTTTAATTTTTTTTCGGTTTCCTGAAGTCGAGCGTATGGTTTATGCGGCTTAAGTTTATACACGAGCAATGATATAACCTACAATAGTATCAGGTTTAAAAAGCCTTTAGACATTTTTTGACCGCAAATTCGAAGAAAAGGTTCCGACGATTATTTAGTTATGATTTTGGCTGTAAACAGAAAGCTCTGAGCGATTTTCTTGCGTCAACTTCATCTTGAAAAGGAGCAAACACCCGGAAGCCCGGTTAAAACATAAATAGGCTTATGCTTACCTGACTCATGATTTTCAGAGACACTTTACTCTCAATACTTCTCTTCGTGAATGAAAATTATTGTTTCTCTACATGTTTCACCGAATTATATTTATTTTATTGATTGTTAGTAATCCCTCTCGCAATTTTTATCGCTGCACCGGTTGTTTCCAGTCGAACATAAACATCGCATGCGGGAATACTCAAAACGCCGGGCGTAAATATCACTCGCTTTTAAAGATTACACATAACAAAACCATACACAGTTTAATAAATAAAGGGAAAAAAACCTAACCATAACAGTTTCTCTATCATGTTGAAGCGTAAATGGTAACTTTATTAATCGCACTGCAAATTTGGTGCCTGTCAAAAGTGAGAACCCGTCCCGCTGGCCGAAAAGTGATTTTGGGATTTTTTTTTATCGTTTTCATTAAAAGCCCATAATTATTACCCTGAATATCACATAGGACCAGATTTATCTAACTGAAAAGTCCCGGCATTATAGAATTCTCTTCATGAAAATGTTTTATAATTCAATGCCATAATTTGTTGTGCAAAGGAAGCGCTTGCTTTGATCGTCGTGGATATTGAATGAGTGCAAATTCTCTTGCAAAATTGTGAAAAACTGCAGAATTATAGGTTTAAATAGGGTAAAAAAGAACAAATTCTGTCCGAGGTCTGTATGATAAAAAAGGGCCTCAGAGTACTACTGTTTACCTGAGACGTGATGAGAAAAAGTATGTTTAAAAGGCTGGTTTACACGCCAATAACAGATTCGTCGCCAAGATTTACTAGTAACCTAAATTAAACTTGTCGAACACAAAAAATCCGGCCCGATATTTTATTTTGGCCTCTCTTTTAGACAGAGGAATGCAACGAGTAAATTGGCTGCCACCAAGGACTATCGTGGCGCGTGTGTTTCTTAAAATTATATTCGGGGTTGTCCAATTATCCATAGTCTCTCTAACGGAGCAATGTTGGAGAGACTGGTGAATGCCACGGATGCAACAGCTAATGCAAATACGATGCACGAATAGGTCTATTTGTTTTGCAGGCCTAATCTACTGTGATCGAACATGCATGATTGCTATTGTTGGGTGTACAAATAAGACTATTTAATAACTCGATGTAAAATTTGTTTCACTCTTGGACTGTCAAATTATTTTTCTCTAAAATCACTTAGCCTTTGCCTCAAAAGTCAAATGAATGTGCCCTGATCTGTGGATCACAAGTTTATTGTTTGATTTAAATTATGAATCTATTAACGGGAGGTTCGCTTTTAGCCCTGGATAAATCTATACATTACAAGGGACACAGACTGTGTTTTCCCGGTCCCAGGATCGAACTCGCGACCTCCCGCTCTGCAGAACAGAGCTCGCTACCAATGCGGTGGTCTAACCTCGGTTAAGACCGATCGTTTCCTTAGTGGTTTAGTTTTTTTTTTTTCCACCAGCTCGTTTAGTGCATGGACAATCACATGGGGAAGGACTAGTGCAAGTCTACGCTAATACTTCATGGGTATGGGTGTGTGCAGATCAGTGGGACAAACAGGCTGCTGATGTGGCTTGCAGGATGATGGATTTTGAAGGATCAACAGCAGCATCTATCAAGTACGAAAACGAGGGAAAAAAGGAAGTCGGGTTGTGGCTTAACAACATAAAATGCACTGGAAAAGAATCTACTCTTCTCCTGTGCGGCCACCACGACATTTCGGAGGGACTACAAAACTGTAAAGGAAAAGGAAAAGCTGGTGTGAAATGCAAGCCAAAAGGTAGGGAAATATCTAAAATTATAGCGTAATATTGTCTTTAATCAGTTTATACGGATTGTAAGTTATTTCTAGATTTAAAAATTAATACTGTTAATTAATTATTGCTTTACATTTTTCTATAAACAACGGATCAATACTTGAGAATAGTGAATATGAATTAAATCACTCTGAATTGAAGATGGAACATGGTACATCAAAAATAATAATACAGCATGAAATGATAATAACAATTTATTCAAATACTTCCTGTTTTTTTTTTCTAAACCTTGCCGTCACCCCTCTGTTGGTTTGTCTGTTTCCTTAGACAAAGAAATTGCTCGATTGAAGTTCAAGATATGACGTTATCATGATTGTTTTGTTTTTAAGTCAATTAAAACGTCAGCCTGCTCCCTCGATCAAATGTATTTCTAGCAGGGGAGGCTAACTTTGTGCAAGCTATGTATAGGTCCCCAGAAAGGTCACCCCAGGACACCCGGGATGGATTTAATTTGTACAGTGCCTACGCCTCATCTCCTTGGCCCTGCCATTTGGGCGCGACGACTTTCAGCCTTTTTGGTTTATATCCTTCGAGTTTGTCAAAGTCTGCTGGATTTGTTTCTCTAGCTGGGGAAGCTTTATCTTTTCTATATCTAATGCTACCCTATTTCTACGATCCTAGCATGTTTATTTACCGTTTTAGTTCGAATTTCATGGAAAACATTGTGTTGGAAGGGAGCAAGGCGGCCGAGATGTCATCTTTTGCCTCCTACCTTGTGTGATGTTGTGTATTATATTGCATGGAGGGCGAATTTGAACTAATTTTCATGAAACTTCGTTTGAGCATCAGGGACAACAACAACTGACTGTAGAGCAAGTTTCATTTTTTCCTTTATTTAATATTTCCCGCTACAAATTTTAGGATCGTATTTTTACCCCATACAAACACTGAAATCTTACTCTAGAACCACACTGTGGTTCCATCACAGAGCCTGGGTTACCTGTGCCTGCCACTCACTTTCTAACACGCATAGATCAGTAGTGTCTTTGACCATTCAGATTGTAGAATTCGCGATAGTATGCCAGTGAAATTCTACGAAAAGAAAACAAATCATGAAAAGATTCTATCAAAACTAGTAAAACGGGTATAATTTAATGAATATTCAATTTTCTTTAAAATGAAAATTTTTATTTCATTTCCCCTGTTTTTCGATTCTAAACTAGAAATTCAGAAATAAGAACTCTCAAAAGATTTTGTTTGTACGGCAGCACGTTTGGTTGGTGATAACAATATTGAACCCCATGGCAGTAAGGGCCGAGTCGAGGTGGTTTACAATGGAACCTGGAGAAAAGTGTGTGGTGATTCCTACTACTGGGATTTCACGCACGCCAACATTGTCTGCCGTCAGCTTGGATTTCCAGGGGCTCTGGTGACAGCCAGAACCTCTCAAAGCAGAAGACGTGATTCGGGCCTAAGAGAAATGTGGTTTCGAAGTCGATGTGAAGGAAATGAGACGGAGGTAACAAATTGTTATCACGACAGGTGGTCAAGCTACTGTTCTAACAGAAAGGAAGCGTATGTGACATGCATTACAGGTGATGAACGTTTTTTGTTTTGACGTGGAATGTATGACCACGTGCACTTGACCGTTGAGCAAAACGGCAAGGGGAAACAGCTAGTAGCCTGCGAAAACATCCGTTTCTCCTCGCTCTTCGCCGCTGGGGTCGACGTTTCGCGAGGAGGAACGTCTGCGACTCAGCGACAGAAATTCCATACTGATGACGCAAATCAATGTTTACACAATAAATCCGGTAGTCATGGGGTTTCAAATACAAATTTGTCCAATTTTACGTGTATTCTGGTCGATTTTGGTTAAGTGTTGTGTTCATCTGCCAACGAGCTCCAGCAAAACACAAACGCCACAGGGTCCAGAGGAGATGTGTTTGTCGTTAGAACATCAAAACCCGTCGAAAACCTCTGAAAAAATGGGTTATTTTGATCGCGTTACGGTTTCGTTACACATTCTATAGACCACAAACCAAGAGACTGAGGGCTCGCAAGATCGGCTTACAGTATAAAATACGGAAAGGGAGGAAACAAATTTGGGGCCGATTTTCGAATCCCTGAAACTCAAATGGAATTGAATGAAATCGCCTGATTTTACTAACCTGATCTAGAATTCTTATGTATTTGCCAAATACTGTAGGAAAATGGCATAAGAAAGCATTTTCGGCGACCGAAATTTACGGCTTCTAGAGAGCGCTTTCGTTCGGTTCGCAACAGATGGTGACGGAAATGACGTAGTAAAGTAAATGTGTTCAAGATCGGAGCAATAAAAGGGAAGCCTACACGACTTTTACCTCTGCTAAAATGCTGCTCGTTCCAATAAAGTTTTTTTCCTCTGCTGGGTAGATTATGCTCTGGAAGGTTCTACAGCAAATGTGATTTTAGCGGGGATTTTAGCCGCATGTTTCACACTGAGAGGTCATGACACATATCGATTTACTGTGGTTATTGTTTCTGGTCGGCAGGATTTGCCCTCTGATGCAAGCGCATTTTCTTTGACCTCTTTTGAAGCGTAAAACTTTTTATTACGGCTGAACAAGGGTTTCCAGTTTTCTCCAAAGTGTCCTCTGGATCTGAATAACTAAGCGATTTTCTTTAGTCCGTGAATGTAATGTTTTTCTTCAATGCTGTATCACGCTGGGCCCAGCTTGTTAGTTTTGTTTGGAGAATGTTAAATTATTACGGATAGTGATTTACGGGTCGTGTGTACTCTTGCAATAAAAAGTGACACTGAGTAGAACGGGCGTACAAGTCAACTGTAATATCATCACGACTGTGCCATTCTTCGGTGGTCCAACTATATTACCTCTTGCGTCTTTGGCTGTGCGTTTTGCGACTACTGGGAAGCCTTCGCACAAGCAAAACCTGCTTAAGACATCGAAGACTGTTGAAACGTACAACAAATGTCCAGTTTTGAAAGATCTTCACTTCAATTAAAACTCTGTTTTTTTCGCATAGATCTCTGAGATCTTTAAAACTCTCTCCGCAGCTGATGTTTTGATTCTCGAATCAGCAGCGGTCTGTTGCTTTTGCGTTTCCGGTCTCATTCCGACTTCCGTCACCGAGTGCTGCGGTTCACATAGAACGAAGTCACGTGCTACAAGTTTCCTCCCTTGTGCTTTCTTTTACTCGGCACTTCGGGCGACGTGCCGTGCGCCAGCGAGGATATGGCTTGCGTTTATTGATTTTCAAAAGTCGATCTGGGTCAGATAAGAAGCGAAGAAATCGTTTACAGTAGATTTAAAAAAGATCCCGGCATTGGGCTAATTAATCTTGCTAAGCGACAGGTATAGACATTTTTCAAGGTAAGTAATTCATTTATTCACACGAAACTCCTCTAAACCCTGTGAAACGCTTCTTCTAGAGAAGAGTATATTACAAAAATTTTGACTGTTTTGCTGTAGATTATTCGCGTTTATATTTGACCTTTGTGGCCTTTTGTCTTTTGTCTGTCATTCGTGAACAATAGCTAAAACAATGTAACTACTCCGTCGACCAATCAGCGCTTCTGACCGGATTCCGGACAGATTTTACGTCATCAGTATGGAATTTCTGTCGCTGAGTCGCAGACGTTCCTCAGCGCGAAACGTCCCCAGCGGCGAAGAGCGACGAGGAACGGATGTTTTCGCAGACTGAACAGCTAGAAGTACATAAGGTTTTTGTAATATAAAGTTGTATTAACTGGCAAGTACTCAATTAGATATAGCAATCTGAAATAAATACTAAATTTAGAGAAATATTTAGTTCTAGTGAGCTCACTCAGTTATGTCATAGGAACATAGATTGGTGGCAATTTTATAAATTAAAAAGTCTACTTAGAAGGTATGTCATTCTCAGCGAAGAGGCGCTTTATTTATATATTTATCACAATCTATGGTCAAAGGCCAAAGGATAATCTGTAAAGGAGTCATGATCGTAAAAACCATATGAAAACAGATCACCTATAAAAGGGAAAGTACGTAAATTCGGTATAAAACATCGGTTTGAAAGTAAACAACGCGCACACTGACAAAACAGAAAAATATGATATATTTTAACAGTTCAGAAAAAAAATGTTTCTTAGAGTCGCTTACAGCACGTTTCAAATGTTTGAACGTGGCGTTTACTGGAGTCGGGGGTTGTCACTTGAAAGCAGCTGTCGCACAATTGAAGTTGGACGGTATAATAGCTAGAGAGAGGTTTAATATTCACATAGTTAGCTGAAACCTATGCTGTTTGCTGCTGAGCTTGAGCTTAGCTGAGCTTCATATATAATTCCTTTTCTTTATAGTCTTTATTTTAATTTTTAGCTCGTTTAGTCGGAGGACAGACACCCAGTGAAGGACTAGTGCAAGTTTACCATAACAATACTTGGGGCTGGGTTTGCGCAGATCATTGGAACAAACGAAATGCTGATGTGGCGTGCAGAATGATGGACTTTAATGGATCATTATCATTAAATTTTAGTCATAAAGATGTTAAGACAAATTTCAAGGTCTTGCTCAACAAAATTAATTGTTTTGGAAATGAAAGTTCTCTGTTTGAGTGTCGTCACGACGGTCTAAGATCACAAAACTGTGAGCCGGGATTGAGGAAAGCTGGTGTAATTTGCAGATCAAAAGGTAAGATAGGGAAATACAATTCCGCGTTTATCTGACTCTAGTACACTGTAAATTAAAGAGTTCCTTCATAGTATCTTCTCTCAAAGCGTAAGTTTCAAAAGGAATACTTGCATTGCACTGTGAACGATCGTCGCAAGAGGTACAAAAACAAAAGCTAGACTACTACCGCAGTTAAACACACTTTATCTTCTTGGCTACCGTACCGTACAGTTTCGTCGTTTGGATCATGTTTACCCCAAAGCTTTAAGTCTATCGACCCTACAGTCTCCAGCATGCGAACAATTTTGTCTTTGCCACTTCGCTTTGACCCTTGGTGTTGAAAAGTCAGTCTAGAAGGCGATGTTTCAAGTTGCCAAAGGTTTATTTTACCGAACGTAAAAACCAAGTAACAACGCATAAACTGAATTAGACGCGTGCAATAGATGCATGCAAGTGTACACACAACAGTCAGCGGTAGTCGGGACAGCGCATGAGTAACCGGCATGTTCTTTTAGAATTTAGATGTTGCAAGCCTGAAAACGCGCGTAGGAATTGATGAAATCTCGAAGTATTTTACAAGTCAAAAGAAAAAAAGTCCAGTAACCTCCTATTTTTATTGCTCTAATCTTTTGTTAGGAAACAAATTCTTGGGGAAGAAGGTCACTGTCCATTTTCCAATTTTTTTTTAAAATTTTTTAAAGTTATCGTCCAAAAAGAAAGTAGGGTTCACCGGCCTAGTTTTCTGGTAATCAGTGCTAGAAGCTAAAAGTACATCCCAAAAAAGCCTCAAGATACGTTGCCATGGTAACTGCTAATGACGTAATAACTGTTGTCTTAAGTTAAGCATTCATTGTATAATCCAGCTCTACAAGACCCTACAAAAGTACTGTTATATGGCTTTGGTTTGCTTTTCTTTTTTTTTTTAGAATAGATCACTACGCTTGCAATAACAATAGAGTCATGGCCACCATCACAAGCTTATTGTAAAATCTTCATTTTTAATCTCAGTGCCAGTCTTTGTTTTTGTATTGATGGACATAACTTTGTGGTTTTATATTTATGTCTGTTTAAACTAAAATAGTTTTTACGTTTGTCTTGCCGTAATGAGTGCGATTTTAGTGCCTATATAAAGTCATGTTTTTACTTATCGACTCTACCTTGCATGCAAATGCGGATTCATGGGGGATACGGTTTGTGTACGAATTGCTTACTATTTCTTTTGAGAAGTTTGAAAACCATAATTCAGGGGATCACCTCATAATTTGCATAATTTGGCGAAGAGGCATTTGAAACGGATTGTTTTGATCAGTCGTCATGAAACTTGGCAAACAGTTTTAGCTCAGTAGCCTTAAGAATATGTGACATAATTATTGCTGAAATTTTAGTCACGTGACCTACAAATGATCGTTAATGGTCAAAGCGGGGGAAAGGAAATGAAAGAGCAGCAAATATTCTTAGGCACCAGTGTTTTTCCCACTGAAATAGTCTTGCGTGTATGCCTAAGTGGAGCAATGATTACGCCATAAAATTAAAGATAAACAGGTCAAGTGACTTATAAAAGACTATAATAACTCTTAATAGAAATGCTTTAATCCACGTCGCAAGGCTGATTGGCAATCCAGACAGCTGATAATTTGATGACAAGTATTTTTAGCCTGAAGTTTAACAGCCTTGCCCCGTTTGAGAAAACATGTTTTGTGGCGTCATGGTCCAAGGAATGTCACGTGATACTTGAGATGAAATTTCCAAAACTATTTTAATGAGATATTTCTTATCATATCTTTGTGGAACCCTTTATATGGATCCTTCTGCGTCATTAAGATCTTTGCATTCTCTGTGGGGGGTCTTTTTAGCCTTTCAACCCATGCCTTAACTCTGACTTTCGAACCATACATGCATGTACTGCAGTGCAAGGCAACATAGTTCCCAGCCACAGTTTTCTGGTCCTGGAAACAGAACTGTTTAAACTAAACCCTATATGTTCAGATAAGTCTTCTTTACACGGCAGTTCGATTGGTTGGTGGACGTAATGTGTCATCGCAAGGCCGCGTGGAACTGTTCTATAATGGAACATGGGGAACAGTGTGTGGCCAGAACTGGAAATTAAGGGATGCCAATGTAGTTTGCCATCAACTTGGCTTTGAAGGAGCTCAATCTGCATTGATCCAGACATACACAGTTTTTGGGCGGGGAAAAGGAAACATTTGGTACTTTCAATTACGGTGCATAGGGAATGAAAGCTCATTAACAGACTGTGGACAAGGCGTGTGGTATTCCAGCTCTTGTAGCTCTCACTATGATGACGCTGGTGTGGTATGCAGAACAGGTACAAAAAGTTATAAAACAGTGAATCTGTTTATATTGTTTTGCCAAAAATTTTATCATGTGCAAAAGTTACCTATCGCAAGACAAGCAAGGAAACAAAAATAAACACTCGCTTGTTTCTATTCTATCCATCAGCTCGTTTGGTGGACGGACGGCAATCCCCCCGAGAAGGACTGGTACAAGTTTATTACAACAAGACTTGGGGCTGGGTTTGTGCCGATCAGTGGGACAAAAAAGATGCTGACGTGGCTTGCAGAATGATGGACTTCAACGGATCACTGTCAGCGTTTTATGACAGCGAAAAAATTATGCAGACAAATCCTGCTGTGTGGCTTAATAACATGCAGTGTACTGGAAACGAAAGTTCTCTCTTTTTCTGCAAGCATGGCGGTTTGGGATCTCATGATTGCAAGGCAAAGGCTGGTGTAATATGTCGACCGAAAGGTAAAACTGAAACCCAAGAAACCAAAAGTAAAAGAAAATAAGGGAAAGGTAAAAGAAAAAGTGGCAAATATCTTTTTGAACTTTTCATATTACACGTATTTGGATTGGTAATTGCAATAAGTTTAGTCATGAAGTACTCTCCTTCCTCATAATCATCTTCCGAACGATCATTTACTCGGATGACTCGAATTCCCCGCTAACTCGAACTGTTTTTCCTTTCCCTTCAGAGGTCGTCCGGGGTTCTACCGCAAATATGTAGTAATAGTAATAAACTAAACAATTAAGATATATAGTTGAGGTAAACAAATGGCATAACTAATTTGTTTCTTAATGTAATTGTGTGGCAGATATTTATGAACTTTCAAGGAACCTTCACGGGTAAACTAAATTCCCTCCACAATTATATAAAATTAATTCTACAATTATATAGTACTTGATCACGTAATTACTCTAGAATGTGGCTGCATGTATTTACCCCTCTCTAGATTTTACAGTTCATTTTTGACTAGATGTACTTCACCCCCTTGCTCTCATGCAAGTACATTATTATACCCTGTCGACCCACTCAGAAGAATTTTGTTGTTTTTTGTTTACTCTTGAGAACAAGGTAAAGGTCGATGTAGTTCAACCGGCACACTTAATAATACCAGCCCTAATAAAGGCTTTCTCTCAATGTACAGTTCGATTGGTTGGTTGGAGTAATGATTCGTTTCAAGGCCGAGTGGAAGTGTACGTCAATGGAACCTGGGGAGGAGTGTGTGGATACCATAACTACTGGGATTTAAAGGACGCCAACGTAGTTTGCCGTCAACTTGGGTTCAAGGGAGCTATTGCAGCAGTTACATCCTCGGATTTCCCCCAAAACAATTTGATACCTAACCTACAGTGCAAGGGAAACGAGACGTCATTGACAAAGTGTGAACATGTGGTAGCTCCCAAAGGCAAATACTGTTCCTACAACAGGGACGCATGTGTAGTGTGCATTACAGGTACTACCAATAATTATTATGGTGCAGCTCTGAACGGGGTCAAAGTAGCCATTAGCCGTATTCAGTGTTAGGAGGAGATTGAACCAAAATTCAACGGAAAAGATTGTGAAAAATTACAGTTGAGGCCTGAATTAGATTTGTAAAGATCATTGGCTTTGTATTTAAGCAATAGAAAACGTTTCCCGTGTTTGCATAGCCTTATACACGAGAAGGGTTGGGAGAATTCGAGACAGTTATGCAAACCCGAGACGAACCCGAGGGTTTGCATGACTGTCGAGAATTCTCCCAACCACTCGTTACATCAGACTATGCAAACACAGTAAAAATGTTTTCTATTGCTTTTATCAAATAACTTTCTCGCGAAAAAAAAGCAAAACCCTTTGTTTAAGGTTCTGATTAAAAGAGAAATTCTCCTCAGTCGCGATTGTACACGAAGTTTGTAAGCGTAATTAGTTCTTGTTTTGCTAAAAAGATGCTTTCAAAAATACGGATTTTTCTCGCTTAAAATATCAGCTTAAGCGAAAACAATTTGACACATTATGTTTCAAAAAAGACTTTTCCAAGTCCCTGAAAATGAAGAAATAGAGTAAAAAAAAGAAAACTTGCCGAGTTTTCAACTCAAAACCTTTTTCAAATTCGGGCTGGCGTGATTACCACGCGCACCTGACAGCAAAACGTCTTGACGTCACAGCCATGTTTACATACTCTCATGCAAACACATCTATTAGCCAATAAGAGCTAGCGCGCATACTATCTCTAGTCAGATATTTTATAAATCTATGATATTTTGGGGGTGAATTTAATTCTATATCATAAGGTCGATGAATTTTTCATCTTCTTGTTTAAAGTGCAACCCAGCTAAGAGGGTCCCAATGAGGTTAACCGATAGGCGTAAAACGACCAAAAATTTAGTCGATAGCCGTAAAAACTGAAAAACTTTAACCGTTAGCCGTAAATAGGGTAACAAAGAGTTAACCGTAAAAGAAATTGTTCCCTAGATTTGCTACTTTTAAGGAAGGTACTAAACTCACTTATGGTTACGTTTTTATTTCTCGGTTAGTGTGACTTGCACGTTTGGCGAAGCGCCTTTTAGGTGCTGAGCAAGACCTCACCTCCATTTCCGCCGCCGTCCCGGGGAACTAATTTTTTTCCATAGCGAAAGTGTGGCTTATTGCTGGGGATTAATATTTGCGATTTTCAGGAGGTCGTGCCCTCGAAACACAAGTGAAGCAACACACAGAGATTTCACTGTTTGTAGGCGAATATGAACTGTATTTTATTCCAAGGATTGTCAGGCTCGATTCCTAAAGGTTACAACACTCCGAAGGGTCCAACTTCTAAAGGATTACACAGGATTCCACAGATTCAATTCACTAAAGGCTCACAGATCATCAAGATGGCTACAAGAACGCAACACGTTTTCGGATCTCTCCCAGAAGGCCTAGCGCGCTCCTAAACTCTTACGTCATCGCGCACACTCCCCCCCGTGGACCATGAAGAATGGTCCACCTTCTATACCTAGAATCAAATATCGAAAAGAAATAAAAAAAAAAATAATGATATAACTCAGTGAATATAGTCTCTCTCAAAAAACTGTTCAATGTTCAGAATACATAAACAATCTTAATGTTCGTCTTGTAATTCAGCAATCCACTGTCTTCTTCTTCGCTCTCCCTCGACTGCAGCTCTACGCCGCTCTCGATTTCCTCTCTCTCGACCTTGCGTCGGCTGTTCCGGTGATTCAAGTACTTGTTCCTGAGGAGCTGCTTCATTCGTAGAACAGCTTACTTCCAGTGGGTACAACAATTGTAGCGGTCTCCTTAAGAGTCCACCTCCACTTGATCCTCTCCCTTGGACTCTGACCTCAGCACCTCTACTCTGCCCATCCTTGCTCATCAGAAGCCGTTCCACCTTGCCCATCTTCCAATAAGATCTTGGGTGGGTTTCGTCATGAACCAATACCAGATCTCCGACACACACACACCCTTGATCCCGCCGTCTTCTTCAATTGGTTATGGGCATTTCGTAATTCAAGAAGGTATTCTGCTCTCCAACGCCTCCAAAAATGAGTCAGAATCATATCAAGGTGTCTTGCTCTTCTGCTCAGGTCGTCCGGCGAAATTCTAAAATCTGCATCTGCAGGACTGTCTATTTCAGGAAGGGCGCCGAGTCTTCGACCAACAATGAGGTGGGACGGTGTGAGGGGTTCTTCCAGGTCCTCAGAAGAGACATATGAAATGGGTCGGCAATTTAAGATCATTTCAGCTTCTGTAACAACAGTTACAAGTTCATCATAGGAAAGCTTGGCTCGGCCGATTGTCTTCTTAAGACATCTCTTCAGTGACTTGACAAGTCGTTCGTAAAAGCCTCCCCACCATGGGGCTTTCTCTAAGTTGTAGGACCATTTGATCTTCTCTTGAGCAAAGTACTTAACAACACTGGGATCATTTGTAATCTTCTCAAGCTCCTTAGAAGCACTCTTGAAGGTCTTGGCATTGTCTGATACCACTAAAGAAGGCCTTGAACGACGAGCTACAAATCTCCTGAAGCACCTCAGAAATGCCTCTGAAGTCATATTGGGCACAACCTCGAAGTGGACCGCCCTCGTAGAACGACAAGTAAACAAACAAATCCAGACCTTACATTCTTCGTCACTGGTAGACTTCACAAAAAGAGGTCCAACATAATCCAAACCGATGTACGAGAATGCAGGCGCCTCTTTCACTCTGTAGTTAGGCAGAGGTGGAGCTTGCGGAACCTTATACGGTTTCCCTTCAAACTTCTTACAAACTGTGCATCTAAACAACAAACTTCTGATAAAGTATCGGCCTCGAACAATCCAAAAGTTCGATCTCAACTCGGTGAGTGTTTCCTTAACTCCTCCATGCATGACTCTTTCGTGACATCTCCAGACTACAAGTGTAGTTAAGTGGTGGCTAGCGTCAAGCAAGATTGGATACTTCGCAGAATCTGTAAGCTCGCTGTTCCCGAGTCTACCTTGACATCGAATAACTCCCTTATCGTCCTCAAACAACCCTAGCTGGTGCGACCTCATCTTAAACTTCTCCTTACTCGTCATCTCTCGTTGTACTTCCTTGATCCATAGAAGTTCGGCTTCTTCTATGTCTGCACCGGTCACACGTATCTCCGGCTTCTGATTCACATCTCCCTGTCGCTGTGCCTTTAATAGCTTAATAAACTTCAGAACCAAGGCTGTAACTCGCAGGAGACGTCCAAGATTACTGAAGGCTTCACTTTGAATGATATTAGACAGCATAGTAGGTTCACTGTTCATTGCAAGAGCAGTCGTTACTGTCTTTCGATCCTTCACCCTCATTTCTACAAGGCAGGCTTCAGGGACTGGCTCTTCCGCAATCTCCTTCCGATTCTCCAGGCCTTCGAAACTAGTCAGCCACTTGGGACCATTCCACCATAGCACACTGTTCTCCAACTCACGACAGTCCATACCTCTAGAGAGTAAGTCGGCTGGGTTGTCAGCCCCTGGACAATGATTCCAGCATTCTTCAGGTACAAGCTTTCTTATCTCGTCAACACGGTGCTGAACAAATGGTTTCCACTCCTTCTGGCTCTGAACAATCCAATACCAGGCTATCTTGGAATCTGTCCAACAAAACAATTTGTCAATCTTCATCTCAGAACTAAGTGCTTCCTTTACGCTATGGATCAGTCTGGACAGGACTACCGCGGATAACAGTTCTAGACGCGGTATGGTCTGCTCCGAGAGAGGTGCTACTCGTGTTTTTGAAGATACAAATCTGACATAACTTGCACACGTCGTCACAATACGCAGAAAGACCACCGCACCGTATGCCTTAGCTGATGCATCACAGAACCCATGCAGTTCACTCGCAATCACTTCCCCTTCCGTGCCAGCATAATAACATCTCGGAAGAGTAAGAGGTTTAACACCCTGCAGTTGTGTCACCAATCTCTGCCAGATTGACTTGCAAGAACCTTCCAGTGGTTCGTCCCAGTCTCTCTTGTCCTTGCACAACTCTTGAAACAGGATTTTAAACTGGACTGTGATCGGAGAAATCAGACCGAGTGGATCATACATTTTTGAGGCTGTGCTAATCACGTTTCTCTTAGTAGGTTCTACTCTCCTTGCTAAAGAGGCAGTGTTTGTAAAATCAAAGACGAGGTTGTCATTGTGATAGTTCCATAGAGTCCCTAAAATTCTTTGAACGCTAACATCTTCAACTGCACTTCCTAGAACACTTCTTGAATAGGTCATATCTTCTTCTTCCACGACGTTTGTGTCTACTACTGGTGTTTCAACAACCTGCTTGTCAACATTCCCTCCATCTCCAGAACCTGTTTCTCCTGAGACCAATCTCTCATTGTCCTCAATTCTCGCTCGCAGTTCTCCTGAATTTGTGATAAACTTCCGCAAATTGAAACCTGCTTCCCTGAGCCTCGATTTCGATTTCACATAGAGCTCAAAGGTGCTGTCCACGTCACTGTCCCCCGATGTCAAGTCATCAACATAGATACTTTCAAGAAACTTCCTGGTAAAATCAGGGTCACATTGTTCATACTGCTCTATATGATGTTTAATTGTGGCGTTCAGTAAGAATGGGCTTGAAGAGAGTCCAAACACAACACGTGTAAACCTCAGTGTAATAACCTTAGGTTCAGCCTTATCGATGTCATCGACCCACAGGAAACGGAGTACATCCTTGTCAGTTTCATTCATATGGACCATTAAGAACGCCTTCTCAATGTCTCCCACCAGAGCTACTCTGTGATTTCGGAACCTCAACATAATGTCAAAGATACTTTGTGTAAGCGCAGGACCGGCATGAAGACAATCATTTAATGAAGCTCCATCTGACTTGGCTGAGGCGTCATATACAATTCTTAACTTTGTAGTTGACTTGTCTCGTCTGATAACAGCGTGATGAGGGATGTAATGGACGACATCAGGCTTGGTTTCTTCATTCACAACTTCCACAATTCCTCTTTCGATTTGATCCTT